CTTCAATACCCGACTCCTTCCAATAGACAGATCATCTAAACAAGGAAACCAATGAGGTTAAATTTCAGTCAAATGGACTTAGCAGACATCCACAGAGAATTCATCCAAGAGCTCCAGAACACACATTCTTCTCAGCAGCCCGTGGAACATTCTCCAAAATAGACCACGTTTTAGGCCTAAAGCCTAAAAAACAATTTCATGTATCTTATGATGTCATAATTGAGTAAGATTAGAAATCAAAGGCAAGAGAAGAGATGAACACATGGAGATCGACTGATATGCTTGAATAATCAATGGGTCATTGGAAAGATCAGGGAGGAAATTCAGAAGTTCCTGGAATCAAATGAAATGAAATGAACAAGAATGTTTGAGATGCAGCAAAGGCGAAAGTTTTATAGCTATGAGTGACTATATTTTAAAAAATCAGAAAGATCTCACATAAATAACCTAATGATATATCTCAAAGTGTTAGAAAAACAAAAACAAGTCAAACCCAAAATCAGTAGATGGGAAGAGATGACAAAAATCAATGTGGAAAATAAGGAAGGAGACTAAAAAGAACAGCACATGGATCGGTGGAACAAAGAGATGGTCTTCTGAAAAGACAAGACTGACAAACTCTCAGCTAAATGAACAGAAGAAAGGAAGCAGACCCAAGTCAGTAAAATTAGAGAAGAAAAAGGGGATATTACCACAGGTACCACTGAGATCCAGAGGGTCATTAGGGAATATTTTGAAAACAGAATCCAATAAGTTGGAAAATCTAGAATAAATAGATAAACTTCTACACACATATGACCTTCCAAAGTAGAACCAACAAAATGTAAATAACTTAAACAGGCCTATAACAAGCAATGAGATTGAAGCAAGTAAAAGTCTCCCAAAAAAGAAAAGCCCAAGGGGGTGGGGAGAAGGGGGAAGAAATGACCCAAACATTGTATGCACATATGAATAAAATAGAAATTTTTAAAAAAAGAAAAGAAAAGCCCAAAACCAGATAAATTCACTGCTGAATTCCACCAGACCCTTAAAGAACAACTAACACCACCAAAGCTCCTCAAACTGTTCCATAAAATAGAAAAGAAAGAAACACTACCAAACTCATTCTATAACGCCAAGAATACCCTAACACCAAAACTGGATAAGGACACAACAAAACAACAAAAAACCCTACAGATAAATTTCCTTGTTGAACACAGAGTAAAATAGAACAAAAAAAAAAAGAATAAAATACTTGCAAACTCAATTCAACAATACATTAAAAAGACCAGATGCCATGATCAAGTTGCTTTTATTTGTTACAAATAAGACCCCCGAAGACCACCAGGATCCTAACTGAAGACACAGAAAGGCAAAATTTACTTCTGCAGAAGAGTGTGCAGGCACATAGGAACAGCATGTACACAAGGGGCAGGCAGTCTGTCCCTCCTTATATTCCTGACACGACTGGCCCTGCCTCTTGACCTGGATTGGTCCAGATCAAAAGTTCACAATCTTCTCAATGGGCTGAAATTCTATACTAACTTGGGGCAGGGGTTAAGATACACAGTGTGGTGCACCAGCAATTTTCACAGGCAAAGAGGCTCAGCCAAGAATCCAAAAGAAGAACCCGGAACTGCAGACAATACAGGCAATGAAAATGGCGACACACAGAGATAGAAAAGACTGCTTTCTCACACATTCCAGGAAAGCAAAGATGGTTCAACATGCACAAATGAGTAAATGTAATACAATACCTACACAGAACCAAGGAATAAATTTAAAATGCAAGAGTCAAGGCTGAAGCTACTAGGAGAAAACTCCTCAATGGCTTTCTGACCAGGACTCCAATAGCACAGGGAGTGACAGCAAGAAGTGACACATGGGATGGCATCTGATTAAAAAGCTTCTGCAGCAAAGGAAGCGAGAAAGTGGAGAGAGCCTGGGGAATGGGAGAAAATCTCTGCCAGTTACTTTCGAACAAGGGATTCATGTCCAGAATCTAGAAAGAGCTCAAAAATTAGACCCCAAAAGAACGGATAATACATTCAATAAAGGGGCAAGTGAGCAGACAGTCCTCAAAAGCACAATAGCCAATAAATGCGTGAAGAAATTTGCAACATCCCCAGCTATCGGGGAAATGCAAATCCAAACTCCATTCCATCTCACCCCGGTCAGCTTGGTCATCACCAAGAAAACAAGCAGCAAATATTAACAAGCACGGGGGATGAGGGTGTGGGGTGGGGGTGGGGGTGCCACTTAGCCCAGCCACTGGAGAAATCATTATGGAGTTTCCTCAATACTGAAGTCACACCACCTCGTGGTCCTGCTGCGTCCGTCCGATACACACCGGAAGGAGTCTAAGCATACAAGAGATACTTGCTGTTTACAGCAGCACTGTCCACGATAGCCAAGCTATGGAACCAGCACAGGGGCCCATCGACTAGCGAATGGATCAAGAAAATGTGATACACACACAGAGACACACAGACACAGACAGACAGACACAGAGAGAGAGAGAGAGAGAGAGAGAGGCGTGCGCACACACACAGGAGTATTATTTGACCATAAAGAAGAATGAAATCATGTTTGCAAGAAAACGAATGGAGCTGCAGATAATCCTGTTAAGTGAAAGAAGGCAGACGCAGAAAGACAAATGGTGTCCACGCCCATGTGCAGAATTTAGATTTTAAGAATGACATTAAAGAAGAGCGACCACTTAAGGAAAGGGAGACAAAGGAGGGTACAGCGGGTTAATATGATCAAGGTACGTTGCATATGTGTGTCAAGATGTCATAAGGAAACTCGTCATTTTGTACGATTGAAAACATTTTTAAAGCCAACATGTTTTGTTCTCTCACAGCCCACCTCAGCTCCAAGCAGCCACATTTCACGAGTTTATTGAGTGCTGAACAAGGAGACATGAGAGCTCCATTTCGCTCTGACATGTCACCAGGGCGGGGTCCCCACAGCTTGCAAACAGACCCAGGTGAGGCTGCCAAGGCAAGCCAGAGTCCTCTTTGGAGCTTCTTGCTTTAATGTAGACACCAATCCAAAACCTCAGATCAAAAGTCCATTTTCCCATCTCTGTGAGGAAAAAAGAACAAAAAGCCAACTCGGGGCAGAGCACATCCACCCAGTTCAGGAAAACCTCCTCATGGCGACCCCATTCTGTGTCACAACCTTATAGGGGACACTTGCTGTGTTCCTTTTATGTGGTCAAGGTGGACTTCCATGGGGACACAGGGCGAGTCACAGTGCTCAGCCCCGCAGAAGGCTCTGCAGGCACCTCAGGCAGAACAGAAGTGTCCCCAGCTCCAGTTGCTGGCTGCCTCCTGGACAGGACCTTCTAGAAGAAACCCTGAGGTGATGCCCAGATGTCTAGAGGAGACAGGGATGTAGCTTTTTTACAGCTTAAAACCTACTTTCCCCTCCCTTTTCCCCTAGGAGAGAATGAGCCCTACAAAAAGGCTGCTGCTGCTGACTTCATTCCTTTTATTACTGATGACAGCAAAGCACTATTTCGGGTAAATATAAGATATTGATTCATCACAACCTCCAGTGAGGGGCAGAGGTAGTTGAAACTGCCAATCTTGTCCAAAGAGATCAATAACACTCATTTGTCAGGAGTCACCTCCTGTCTAAAGGGCACATATTTTAATTCTTCTTTTTTTAGGCACCCAACAATTATTTATGGAGCACCTTCTGGATGCCAGGTTCAAGTGTGGGGAAGCAGCAAACCAAAATCCTTGCCCTAAGGGAGCCTTGCAGTCTAGACAAAAATATTTAAAATATGTGACCGGGATATCATATCTTACATAACCAATGCCATCAGGTGAGGGAGAGTGCTATTTTATTTTATTTTATTTTATTTTATTTTATGTTGTGGTGCTGGGGATGGAATCCAGGGCTAGCCGAGTGCTCTGTTACTGAGCCTCGCCACCCTCAGCCCCAAGTCGGTGCTATTTTGGGTCAATTGTAAACCATCTCAGTGTCCCAACATTGTATCTCATGTAAACAAGACTAAAATCGAGTTGCTAGAGAAGCATGTTAACCTACCAGTTTTCTCTTGAAAACTCTCTTTTTCTTTCTTTTTTGTGGCACTGGGGTTTGAACTCAAGGACTTGTGTTTGCTAGGCAGCTGCTCTTCCACCTGAGCCACTACACCAGTCCCTTTTGCATTGGTTATTTTTGAGATAGGGATTCACTCTACGCCCAGGCCAGCACAAATAGGCGGCTACTTGTGCTTCCCTGTGTAGCTGGGGTGATAGGCTACACCCAGCCATAAATTGCTTGAGACGAACTCTGCTCAACTTTTTGCCCAGGCTAGCCTCCAACCTCGATCCTCCTAACCTCTGCCTCTGGAGTAGCTAGGATTACATGAACCACTGGCTCGTGGACATGATATCCCAGTCACAAATTTTAAACACTTTTGTCTAGACTGCAAAGCTCCCTTAGGGCAAGGATTTTGGTTTGCTGCTTCCTAGCACTTGGACTTGCCACCAGCTCCTGGCACAAGTCGGGGACCAGGGTGTGACATTTTCTGTCTCTGTGGGGACAGTGTTGTTCCTTCGATCAGGGTGACTCTTCAGCCAGCCACGTTTTCAGCTGGGCCTGATGGTCACCTCTGTAATCCTGCACCCAGCGGTGGCAGGAGAATTGTGAGTTCCAGGCCAGCTTGGAATACAAAGTGAGACCCTGCCTCATAAAAAAGAAAAAGATTGCTTTTTCGGAAGTTCCCCACTTGTCATTTACTGGTTTTGATAAAGTGTGGCCTGGGCAATGGGTTTTGACAATTTGTCCTGGTGAGGCCCGATGACCAGACAGCTATGCTGAGGACATGTCAGGCCATGCCTGCGAGAGATGGGCTCTGAAGGCATTTCTCTCTCACAAAGCCCCAGGGGTGGAAGGAAAGCTGTGTAATAAGCTTACTGACTGATAATTAGCTTACAATTACTGACTGATAATTAACTAGTACAAGAGTGCTAGCTGAGTCGGTCCAGGACGGACGCTGGCTTACAATGGTTTGCCTTAGACTTTTCAGCCTTTTGCTGGTGCAAAGGCTCACACGCTGGCATCCCGTCGTCACGCTGAGCATGGCGTTCAACAGTGGATGACTGGCACTCAGCACGACTTTGCCCGACCATAGGCTATGTGAGCACTCTGAGCATGGCTGAGCGATGGTGTAGGTAGGGTATTAAGTGCATTAATTACAGTGTTTCAACTTGCAACAGCTTTAGCAGAATGTCACCCATCCTAAGTTGAGAAACGTGTACTTAAATGAAAAGAGGATCAGAGGGGGAGCTTCTGCCTCCTCCTCCCAACCTCTTTCCATCAACACCAGCAAAGCCACGCGTGATCAACAAACGTTTTGGCTGTTATGCTCTCCAATCTGTTTAATTTGTTAACCTCCTCCTCCCAGCAACCGTCTCCCTCCATTCTGCCTTTGGTCATGACCTCCTCTCCCCACACCAGCTTGTCCCCTTCCAGGCCCAGTAGAGACCCTCCTCTCTCGGTGGCTTCTCCTCACCCTATTTGGGTCAATGGCCACTTGCATGTGCTTCCCCCCCTCCCACCCCTGCCCCCAGCTCCATCACTGCCCTCAGGCTGTCTCTGTCTGCTGGGGGGTGGAGTCTCTCCTGAAAGCCGCCTGAGGCCAGGGCTGGGCAGCTGTGGACATGTGCGGAGTGGGCTCATGGGTATTTGCTGAACAAATGGATCCTGTATTAACTGAGTTTTCCCTTTGTACCAGGAGTCACAAAGCAGAGGAACTTCAGCTCTCAAACTGGTTTAAACCTGGGTAAGACCAAAGCATCTGTCTCAAAAACAATAGATTTGACCTTGAAGGGACAGGTTTTCTTCCCATCTCTCAACTGTCTTTCCCGGGGCATCCAGAGCTGGGTGTTTGTTCCCAGCAGTGTGCACAACCTGGCCGTTCCCAGCCCAGGGGCGCAGTGGGGAGAAGGCTGGGTTTTCATCCCAAGCTCTCCAGTGCAAGAGACCCTCTGGGCTACCAAACCAGGCCCATTTTGCCCTGCACTTGGGATGGATGCCACCTCCCAGACGACAGTGTTGCAGAGGAAAGTTTATTCAGGGTCTGGGGACATTTGTGGGCTTGGGGCGGGGTTGGGGGAGGGGGAGTGAGTGACTGGAGATCAGGAAAGAAGTTACCAGTGTTGTGCAGTGTCATCAAGTCCCCAGCTATCACCATTTCAACCCGCACTTTAGAGGTGCTCTTAAAAAGCCTGTAATCGAGAGCAGGAGAAGAAGCAAGGTCTAGAGGCTCGTTCAGGCTTTCCCTTGCCTTCATTTGGATGCTGTGGGAAAAGGCCACTAGGAACCTTGTTTTAGTGCCAGTGCTCCGGTGCCCCACCTTGGGCTGTCAACTGCAATTTATTAGCCAATTCCCTGTGGTCTCTGGTTGTTTGCAGTTGGTGACTGATCTTACACATTTTTTTTTTTACGTTGATGTGTGTTTAGCTGTGGGATAAATTTCTAAAATGGAGCCATTAGGTCAAAGAATGTAGACATTAAAAGTTTTGATGTGAAGTTGCTAAGTTTCCCTTTAGTAATTGTACACATTATTTTCTTATTTACAGTCAGTAAACTAAAGTTTAATCAGCTCTTACTTTTGGCACATCTGCTAAACAGTCTCCATTCAGTGTGCGTTTCTGTAATTGTTGAGAGGATTGGACTCTTTGTATGTGTATCCCTCATCTTTTGTGGACTCCTTTTTCTTAAATGTACTTCAACTTGACCTCAGATGCATAGAATCAGAATAATCATCACCTGTGGCTCATCAAGGTTTCATGCAAAGCCCACTCGTATTGTTTACTAATTTGCTTATTTTTAATGAAGCCAAAACCACAGCCTCCCATACTTGCAACTGGCTTCCTGTCCTTCCCATTCCCTTCCCCATGTGTGCCCCCAACCCCCACCCATCTCTGAACTAATCGCCATCCTCGATCCTGATAATTGATCGTATGATCCTGGTCAGTTTGCTTTCCTTTCCATTTTATGTAATTTCACCTCATCTATCTGCATTCTGCAAAGGTGACAGTTTATGACTTTACAAAGAGGACATTGTAGTTAAACAATCTTCTGCAACTTTCCTCTTCCTTAATGTGATAAGAGTCCCCCAAGACCTCACATCACTGTAATACATCAACACCCGTGCAACCACGCAGTGTGGAAATACACCAGCTTATCCGCCCAGCGCCCTGCTCCTCGACCTTGAGTCGTTTTTGTTAGTAGGACCTGCACTGCTGTGAATATTCTCACACACACCTCCTGGGTAAAGTGTTGGGTGAAATTGGACCCACTGGGCAGTAACAGATGGGACAGCCCAGCCTAGGAGGTAGGACTTGGCTGTAGTCCATTCTGGATGCTCTAACAAGACACCGACTAGTGGCTTAAACAGGGAATCTATTTTTCAATGTTCTGGGAGCATGAATTCTGGTGATGGCTCTCTTTCTGGCTTGCAGACAGCTACCTTTGCTACCAGTGGGCGTCTCACAACACCTTGGTTGGGGTATCAGATCCTTGGCATCCTAAAAAAGAATTAGAGTGGAGAGGGTGAAGGAGATTAAGGGTGATGGTATATGGCAGATGGACTTCATGTACCTATATGAAACAGAACTAAGAAACCTCTTGCAATTGCTTTAAGTGGGGTGGGGAGGGGGTGGATAGGGAGAGACGATGGGGGCGAGGTAACTAAGGTACAATATAAGTCTAATCGGAATTGTCACTGTGAATCTCCCCATATAATGAATATCCTGATAAAAATTACTTTAAAAAAGTAGACACAGATTGCAAAGTAGTGGCAGAGTTTGTTAAGAGGAAGAGAGAGTGGGTGAAAGCAGGAAAGAACACTCCTCATGGAAGGGGGGCTCTGAGGAAAGTGGTTTTAGGGGCAGCATCTGTAGATCAAGAGCACCAGTGCCTTGGTTTGGATGGGCATTGACACAGAGAGGGGAGGAGATTGGGTGGACCGTGCGTGTGAATCCAATGAGCATGTCCCAGTTTGGGTCCAGATGGAAATGGTGTTTTAAAAGGGGCGTTTTGGGGGTGGTTTTGGCTGGAGCTAGATCACCTGTTCCCCCACGAGACGATCTGCAAGGAGGCCATGTGTTTCCCATGACCTGACTTGGATACTTACTTTCCCTGAATTTCCTGCCTCACCTTTACACTCTGTCCTGACACAGCAGAGACACACAGGGAGAGAGCAAACCCTCTGCTTACCAGGGCATGAATCCTACTGTTGTGGGAAATTACGAGCTGAGATATGGGACATTGAGGCAGACTGGCAGGAAGCAATGTTTATTGTGCCGGCACAGACTCAGTGACTCATGTCCAAAGGCTGAGCCTCAAGAGCAAAGGGCTCTTACCTTATAGACCCTTGCAAGCAGGTTACAGAAGCAAAAAGCAAAGCTCAACCCACATAGGGCTGCATGTGACTTCACTGGCTATTTCATTTCCCCAGTGTTTTGTGACCTTCATGATTCAATTCTTTGTTTTATCTCTCTGCTTTGCCATCCCCTCCCCCATCCATCTGTTTCATTTCTCTCCCCCCTTGCCTGCTACACTGCTAGGAAGGATCCACCCTCTTGACTTAATTCTCAGGCTCCATCTCCAAACACCATCACAGGGAGGATAGAGTTTTAACATAGCAATTTGGGGGATGCAAACATTCAGTCCATAGCAGTGGGGAACAGTTTTCCCCAGCAGTAACCCCAGTATAAATTCCCAAAGTAGATACTATCAAGACAATGGCCATAGAAAGTATCTCTTGAGTGACATCAGCAAAAATGATGGAGTAACGACTTTCTTAACCTCTCTTCTCCATAAAAACAATGAGAACAGTGAGAAAAATGGAACCAACTTTTCTGCAACTGTGGAAATTATCCAAAGGCTTGCAGCAATCTGGAGGACAGTGAGGTTTCTGGTGTTTAACTTGCCTTGGTCCCAGAACCACCCTCCTCCTCTGCTGTGCCCTTGAAGACCAACCATGGACACTTGGCTAAAATCCGCATTCTGGAAGGCCCTGGTGGAAGTGCAGTGGGCCTGGAGCCCTTCGAGCCCAGAAAAGTCAAGCTCTGACCTGTCAGTGGCTCCCCATCTGCTAGTCTGACTGCATTGACCGAACCAGGAGCTCGCCTGGGCATTTGTTGAAAACAAGTACAGGCGATTGTCTGACTCACCACTGTCAGAGGCAGGTAGTGATGGAGCAAGTAAAGGACAGAACCAAGTTTAAGGGGAAAGAGAGACCCACAGGGGCTTTGAAAAGCCAGATACGCAATAGCTGGGAATCTAGAAAGCCACCATGTGCAGGGCGGTGTGCATGCTCAAATAAGGCCCAGGAAGGCTCCAGACTCTCACCTCTCTAAGCGAGCAGGAGGTGAGGGCTAAGGCAGGGTTTGCTGCCAACTGCCTGGCCGAGTGACAAGGGCATGGCTCAGCTCATGCACAGAGCCGCTCAGAGAGTGGGGGACTTACTGGCTCCAGTCACTTGTAGAAATGTGTTGGACCAGTTGCAGACTGCTAGGTAAACTGGGCAGAGACCTCAGTGGCCATAAATCATGAACAAACAGACTTTGCAAATTAATTCAAAAGAGTTATAAAGCAAAGAAACCTAATAACAAAAGTAAAATAAACAAAGAATCCCTGGGGAGGGAGGGTGAATTTGGTCTCCAGAGTTGCCTCATCATGTTACTTAAAATACCCAACCTTCAAAAATAAAACATGCCAAGAAACAAGACAATATGGCCTTGTGTACAGGAGGAAAAAGGGAAACGATAGAACCTATCCCTGAAGAAGCCCGGACGTTGGACGGAGAGTTTAAACCAGCTATTTGAAATACATGCAGAAAACTGAGGGACCGGATAAAAAAACATCAATAAAGTTACAGACATCATAAAAAAGAGCCCAGTAGGAAATCTGGAGCTGAAAAGTGTACAACCTGAGGTTAAATATTACATGGGGGCCTCAGCAGCAGGTGTAGGGCAGGAGAGAGAGCGGTGATCCCAGAAGCTCAGTGACGTCCATGCAGGGTGAGTTGAGACCCACTACAGATACCAGGTCATCAAACTAGCCAAAGAGGAGGGATCTGTCGTCCTCAGAAAGATGACAGCTGTCTTTTCCTCAGTCATCGCAAAGACCTGAAGTGAGAATGAAATATCCAGCTTGCTGAAAGACAAAAAGACCACCAGTCCAGAGTGTAAGCCCCTTTAGAAGAGGAAAAAACATTCCAGCATTTCCAGAAAAGCAACACAGAAAACCATCGCTAGCAGCCTGCCGAGGAGCACTGCAGCGGGCTCAGGCTGACCGGTAGACAGGTGAGGCAGGCGGGTGTGGTTTAGCTTGAGCTCTGTTATCCTACCTTATTTAAAAGACAAGACAGTGCATAAAGCCCGCAGGTGTGCCAAGGTGTAACTTGCCTGACAATAGCAGCTTAAGGGATGGGAGGGAGACGCGCGAGGGAGGAGACAGTGTTGTCTTCAACTGAGCGTGGGTGCTGTGTCTCAGTGACTGTTGTGAGATTTCATGGTCTGTGCATGAAATGCTCCCACAGGTTCATATGTTGAAGGTCTGGTCCTCAGCTGTGAGGAGCAGGAAACGTTGGGAGGTGGGGTCTAGTTGGAGGGAGAGGGTCACTGGGGTGTGCCTTTGAAGATTAGACCTGGTCCCTGGTCCCTGTCCCTGCTTCCTGTCCACCACAAGGTGCTCAGCCTCCTCTGCGTCACCCTCCCAACACCACGACATTCTGCCCAAGTGCATGGGGCAAGCCACGGTGGCCCAAACCCTCGGAACCATGAGCCAAAAAAAAAAAAAACCCTGCTCCTCTAAGTTGTTCTGTCAGGTATTTTGGTCAGAGCCACAGGCATGGTGGGATATGCCTGTTATCCTAGTACTTGGGAGGCTGAGGCAGGAGAACTGTGAGTTAAAGGCCAGCCAAGGCCAGATAGTCTCTGTCTCTCTCTCTCTCTCTCTCTCTCTCTCTCTCTGTGTGCGTGTGTATAAATGTATATAAAATGTTTTTTTTTTTTCATGAGAAAAGTCTTTTTTTTTTTTTATTTTTCTTTTATTATTCATATGTGCTATAAAATGTTTCTATATGTAAAAGAAATAAAGTAGCACTCTAGGAAATACCTATGAGAACTATGAACACATTAGAAGTCATTAAAGGAGAAACAGGAACAAAAATGTGTGACAAACAGAAAACAAATGACAGAATGACTCTCTTGCCATTACAGTTTGTAAAAAAGATAAAATTCTCCGGTTAAAAGGCAGGGATCATTTGAATGATGGACACAGGAGCCAACCATGCTACCTGCAAGAGACATTTTAGATTCAAAGACACCAACAGATTTAACTAAAGGACTGAAAAATGTACCAGGCAAAAACTTATCAAAAGAGAGCTGGATGGCTACACCAAGTAATGCCAGACAAAATAGAACAAGAAAACCAGGTGTGGTGGCTCACCTCTGTAATCCCAGCTACTCAGGAGGCAGAGGTCAGGAGGATAGCAGTTCGAAGCCAGCTCGGCAAATAGTTCACAAGACCCTATCTCGAAAAAACCCTTCACAAAAAAGGGCTGGCAGAGTAGCTCAAAGTGAAGGCCCTGAGTTCAAACCCCAGTACCACACACACACACAGAAAAAAGACAAAGAGCAATAAAAATGACAAAGAATTTGAGCTAACATTTCCCCAAAGAAGAGATCACCAGTGGCCAAGAAACACAAGCAATACACTGTACATCTCTAGTCATAGGGCCATGCAACTCAAAGCCACAGGGAGTCCCCCTGCAACACAGAAAGACTACAGGACAGCCAGAGCACAAACGGAGCCACAAGTGCTGCTTAGGGTCTGGAGAAATATGAACTGTCACCCCTGTCGTCCCCCATGGGAATGGAAATTGTACAGCCAGTTTGTCAGGTCCTCAAACTGCTAGCTGAGTAACCTAGAACTCCACCTCTAGGTATATATACCCAAGAGAATTAAAAGCATATGTTCACAGAAAAACTCATCTCTGAATGTTCACACAGAATTATTCATAACTCAAAATGTGGTCTAGCCATGGGTGGAACACTAATTATTCAGTCATATTTCCAGATCATGCAAATCTACAAGGGCAGAAAGTAGATGAGTTGTTACGGGGGTTGCAGGGAGGTGGGAGAGACGTGGCGCCATTTGGCGCAGAGAAATATCAGAGTATGCCATTTTCTTTGGAGCAGCTATAAACAGCATTGTCTCTAATTTTAGAATTTTTTTGTCTGTTGTGGTATCCTGAAACCTTGCTGCATTCACTTATCAGTTCCAAGAGATTTTTCTTAGCTTGCTCAGGAGTTTTCAGGTAGCCAGTTGAGTAGCTGATTGTATTATGGACAGTGTTATTTTGTCTTCCTTCCCAATCTGATGCAGTTGGTCCTTTTTCTTGCCTTATTGCAGTGGCTTGACCTTCCATCACCGTGTTGGATAAGAGTGTGAGTGGGCGTCCTTGCCCGTTCCTGATCTAAGGGCAGAAACATTCAGTTTTCACCACTAAGTGTGTTAGCAATAGGGGTTTGGTAGATATTCTTTATCAAGATGAGGTAATTCTTCCATTCTTATTTTTTCTGAGTTTTTCTTTTATCCTGAGTGGGTATTGGCCTCTGTTTAATGCTTTTGATATGGGCATGTAGTTGCTTTTTAGCTTTGGATATGATGGCTTGTGTTGATTGAAAAATGTTGAATCAAAGCCCAGCATGATGGCTCATGCCTGTAATCCTAGCTACTTGGAGGCCGAGATGTGGAAGATTGCAGGTCAAGGCCAGTCTGGGCAGGGAGTTCTCAAGACCCCATCTCAACCAATAGCTGGGCATGGTGGCTTGTGCCTGTCATCCCTGCGACAATGGTAAACTTAGAACAGGGGAACTGTAGTCCAGGCTAGGCTGGCCTAGGCAAAAAGTGAGATCCTAGCTCCAAATAACCAGACCACCTGCAGATGAGCCTCAAGTAGTAGAGTACCTGTCTAGGAAGTGCAAAGTCCTGAATGCAAACACACAAAAATATGTCCAACCAACCTGAATTATCTATTCCTGTCATTATTTACTTATTATTAAAAGCAAATCTAATGTCTCTTTTCCTTTTTGGACTCATTGTCTTATTTCTGCTGGATCACACAGACAGCATAAAGCATGTGTGAGACTATCACATAGGCCAAGAGGAAGAAAAGGAGCAGGAGGGGAAACAGAGCAGGTTCCGCAAATGCTGCCGCCGTCGGGCAATAACCAAGAATGTGCTAACCGCGGGAAGCTTAAAATTGTTTAAACAGCAATCGAAGCTTAAGTTAAGCAGCCGTGGGCTCAGAAGTCAGGAAGGATGAGGAGAGGCAAGCCTGAGGCCAGACTGGCTGGGCGTCAGTCCGGCTCAGCCACGTTTTAGCTGGGTGCAGTTAGGCAGTTTGCTAGACCATCTGTGCCTCTGGCTCCCCATACAAAGATCCAGCAGAGCCCTGGTGCTCACCCTGGGAGGGGGACATTGTCAGGGTCAAGAAAGTGACCTAGTGCCCAGCATGCCTGCCTGGCACCCAGAGTCTGCCTGTGACTTCAGAGTTAGCAGCTGTCACTGGGCGCCCACCAAGGCACACCATGGCCCCTGCTTGACGTCTTCTTGTGTGTCCCACAGGAGCCGCCAGGATGTCATCACGACCACGGACTGGCTGGCCCCAGTCTTGTGGGAAGGCACTTTCAACAGAGAGCCCCTGGAGAGATATTACAGAAAGCAGAACATCACTGTCGGCTTGGCTGTCTTTGTTATTAGAAGGTAAGGGCTGCTGTAACTTTTATCACTTACACTTGGGGAAAATGAGGATGAGTATCCACTGACGTTCTGCCCCCAAAGAGCAGCTTGTCTTCATGGACACAACTTCTGTCGGCCCTTTCCACCTGCCTCTCACCTGCTTGTTCTGAAACACCATGGGTCTTGTCAGGACTGGGGGCTTGCTAGGTTCTTGCAAGGGGATCTTTGTATCCGACTTCTCCACCCTGACCCAATGGGGCTACTAAGTCTTTAGCTGTTAGACAGCTCATCCAGGGGCATCCATTCCCCAGAGAACATTTAGAAAAACAAGCTCCTTGCTCTGTCTCCCCAGGTTTGCAGACAGACACCTGGAGCTGTTCTTGCAATCGGCCAACAAGTTCTTCATGCCTGGCCACAGGGTGATCGTCTACATCATGGCGGACACCTACGTCAAGCTGCCCGATGTAGAGTCCAGTCCTCTGCGAACCTTCCAAAACTTGGTAATGGGTGAGCAGCAACGGTGGCACAACTTGGACCTCGTGCGCATGAAGGTGTTAGGTGAGCACCTCGTGGAGCACATCCAAAACGAGGTGGATTTTCTCTTCAGCATGACCACCAACCTGGTCTTTGAGGACGAATTTGGGGTGGAGACCCTGGGCACCTCTGTGGCTCAGCTCCATGCCTGGTGGTATTTTCGAAACACCAAGAACTTCCCCTATGAAAGGAGGCACACGTCAGCAGCCTACATCCCCTTTGGGCAGGGAGACTTCTACTATGACGGCTCGATTGTCGGTGGCACGCCACATCAGATGCTGGACATCATCGAAGACTATCTGAAAGGGGTTGTTCAGGACATAGAAAAAGGACTTAACAGCACCTACGAGAAGTACCTCAACAAGTACTTTTTCCTCAACAAACCCACCAAGCTGCTATCCCCAGAATACAGCTGGGACCCCAGGTTCAGACTCCCACTGCAGGTGCGGTACGTGAAGGTGTCCAGACATGCTCGAGAGGGCTACTGATTGTCATCGCTGTCGTGGAGACCGTCAGCGACCCTCCCGCAGAGGCGCAGGACGCCTACACTTGGAAAATTTGTGCTCTTCAAAGACATTTTGCTCCTGGCAATTTTGAACCATCCAATTTGATTAATATAGAATAAAGAATAAAGACGTTTATTTACTGTTTGTGCCCAGTAGTGCTGTTATCTCCAGGTCATAGATAACATGGACTCTTGTGAGGTTTTTTTGTTGTGGTTGTTGTTTTGGCTTTGCTGGGTTTGAACTCAGGGCCTCACACTTGCTAGACAGGTGTTCTTACCACTGGGCCCACACCTCAGTCCTTTCTGCTTTACTTATTTTTTAGATAAGGTCTGAGGCTTTTTGCCCAAGCCATACTCAGACCAAGATCCTCCTGCCCTGGTAGCTGGGATTATAAGTGTGAACCACCATGCCCTGCAAACATGGACGTATCTTGGACACAGAATATTTTTTTCTTTAATGGAGAAAGACTCTAGTTCAGAAAAATCTATTCACAAAGTAGAAAATGTTATTAAATGTAAAGGAAAAAATAAATGTCCATCACCTCACGAGTCAGATATGTAACATGGTTTCCGTGTTGGGAGGCAGGGGCCGGAGAGCGATGGTCTCATGCCAGCATATGAAGGACACTGGTGAGCTAAGAGCATTTTGCCAAATACATACTGTTAACAGAGAGAGGTGTTAAGTTCACGTTTCGTTTTGTTTTGGTGGGACTGGGGTTTGAATTTAGGGCTTGGCGCTTGCAAAGCAGGTGCTTTACCACTTGAGCCACACCTCCAGTCTATTTTGCTCTGGTTATTTTGGAGAACTGTTTGCCAGGGCCAGGGTCAAACCACAGTCCTGATCTCAGCCTCCCAAGGAGCTTGGATTACAGGTGTGAGCCACTGGCACCTGGCGAGAAACACATCTTAAAGGAGAAAAAGGTCCACGGTTTCCAAGGTGTCGGCCCACGGTCACCTGGCTCCATTGTTTCTGGACCGTGAGGAGGCAAACATCATGGTGGGAGGATGTGATGGAGACAGGCTTCTCACCTCAAGACAACTGGCAGAGGATGGGGGAGAGAGAGAGAGGAGAGAGAGAGAAGAAAGGTGGTTCAGAGGACAAGATATAGCCCTAGGTACACCTGAAGGCCCTCACTTCAACTGAGGCCATCACCTCCTTACAGCCCATCACAAGGTCACACAAGGTCAGAGCCCTTGTGATGACCCGTCACCTCCCCAAAGCCCACCTCTGGGCACTGCTGCACTGGGGCCAAGCCTTCAACATGGCACCTCGGGGGACATTCCAGATCCAAATCCTAACACAGAGTGGGTGCTAACGGATTTTTTTAAATACCTCTCTTAATTTCATAAACATAACACCTCCTTTTGTTGGATAACTTATGAAGTGGAACCTTCTGTTAAATTATATTTGTTTGATGCGTGTGTAAGCACATTTACTTGTTCAGTCTTTGACTTATTTTCCTAACAGTGCTCCACTTTATCCTTCAAGAAGCACCAGCATGTGTTTATATGTGTGACAAATTTGGGGCCAATGTCAATTACAGGGCATTGTTTGTATTTCAGTTTTGTCAATGGTGTCTTTGATGTGCCAGAGTTTTAAGGCCTCATCATTCTCCCCTTTCCCTGGGTGTCAGCTCCCTGTCCCCAAAGTATCCATACATAGAAATCTCATGGTCTGGGGTTTAATTTAAGATAATGTGCAGAATTATGAGACACGAAGCCTTGTTTGGCAAGGTCAGTCTTGTCCATTCCCCTCAACTCTGTGATTGACTAGATGAAGCACTTATGGCCGGCCACTGTGTCCTGTGTTACGTTGAGGCATGCTGTGTGCCTGTCTTCGTTTCACACCCATTTCATTGGTCTTGCTTTATGTCCTAGCTAATACCACGCGACTTTCACCATCGTGTCCTTTATTAGGGTGGAGTGGCAAATTGCATCGCTTTCCTCACTTCCTCCCTCCCTTCTTTCCCTTCTTCTCTCTCTTTCTCTCTCGCCGCCTCTCTCTCTTTCTCTCATACTGGAGAAGGAACCCAGGGCCTCACACTTGCTAAGCAGGTGCTCTACCACCTGAGCCACTCCCCCAACTCTTTTTTTGTTTTCAGTTTTTTGGATAGAGTCATTTTGTGGTTCAAGGCCAACCTGGACAAAAATGAGAGACTTCTCTAAGCCTCCCACATAGCTGGGATCACAGGCTTGTGCCAACCCGTCTGGCTTGCTTTCTTCTCTCTCTGTCTCTGTTTCTCTATCTCTCTCTGTGTCTCTCTGTATCTCTCTGTGTCTCTCTTTCTCTCTCTGTCTCTCTCTTTAGCAGTGCTGGGGATGACCCAGGGCCCTGCGTACTCTAAGCAGATGCTCTACCATCGAGCCACATTCCCAGGCCTGCATTGCTTTTCTTTTGCAGACACCTCAAAGCTTTTATTCATTCATGTAAATCTTAGATCCAGGATTGCAGTTTGGGAAATACTTCCTTCTCACAGTGCACAGATTAACAGATACTAAGAATATGCAGAAGTGTCCCATCTCTCTGATTACACAAGTCATTCTTTTTTCTGGTGCTGGGGGTGGAACACAGGGCCTCAAGCTTGCTAGGCATGTACCAAGGGCCTGAGCCATGTCCCAGCTCCAAAGTCACTTTTTAGAGCTCCACAATAAATGATAAATAAACATATTTATTATCTTGCCATAAACTCTCTGATGCTCTTGGTGGGTGTGTGAGCTGAGTCCCCGTGACTGCAGGGTTCCCATCGTATTTTTCCAAGAGCTGTGGGTTTCTGGGGAGTCCACTGAGCTGTGTGCATCTGCCTTTGATCACCTTCCTCACCAGCTCTGAGTCACCAGCGTATAAAACCCCCACGGCAGTCACTGGGTTTAATCAGGTCATGTTTATTTCACAATGGCCGACTGTGGGAAGGAGCCTTGGGTAAAATGTGACTGCTCCTGGGTGGCTTTGCCGAGGGTGTTTTCTAGGGCAGGCATCCAGCTAGACCTGTCCCGGGTGCCTCCGGACAGCCAGTATCTAGGGCCCTGCCCCACTTTCCTTAGAGCCACCCGGGCGGCGGGAGCAGAGTGGGCACACCCTTGACTCTGAGGTGGGCTTTGCTTGACTCAGCTCACCTGTTGCACAGGTGCACGAACACCTGCCAGCTCCAGCTGGCTCTTGTCAGAGAGCACGGTCTGGGGCTGTGGTCACTCGGGGCTCCTCAATCTTGGTGGGGTCATGAGTTTTTCAGCCAAGGGAGGCTGCCTCTCTAGAGTGGCCCAAGACAGAACCCCCTGGGGCAGATCAGAGGTACGAGGGTCACCCTTGTGAAGAGCACTGTAGGGGATCCTGTCAGCCTTGGGCTGACACAGCTAGGGACTGTGGTGCTTTGCTCTCTGTGAATGTTCCCAAGGAGGCTGGGAACATAGGGCTCGGATCCTGGAACCACGTGCCCCTCCTCACCACTGAGTCTTCTTCCAGCAGTAGGCCAGGCTGGAGCCCCTGCACGACCCTGTTGTTGGCAGTCAAGACCTGTGACTGATGGGACTCGGGATGAGACAGGCAGGGGTTGGCTGCAGACTGGAGGGGCTTCCTCAAGACCCTGGAAGAAGAGGGGCTTCCGGGGCACCTGAGTGAGAGTCCCTGGCCACAGGCCAAGGTGGGGTGGGGGGAAGGAAGGCGGAAGGCTGAGGGCAGTGCAGAGGGATCCAGAGATCCAGGCAGGAAGCCTCTGGGAGTGGCCCCACCTAAGCCGGGCCTGGGGGGCACTGGCCTGTGTGAGGACAGAGAAAAGGTGAGAGTCTCAGGCCTTCATTCCATCATTTTGAAATCAATCTGTTAATGAACCAATCACAGCATTAAACTGTCATCTGTCCCTGGCACTGCCTTGTCTCTTGCTGTCCAGCCCCCTGTGGTGGCCATGTCCTATCGTTCTCTGATAGAAGCTCAATCTACCCCACCTCCCCATTTCTTCTTCCAGGCAGCTTGGGGACACCCATTCCGGCCTTCCGCACACAGAATAGCCTAGCTCCGCTCCTCAAATCCTGTTCCAGGCCCCCACAGCCTTTGTCCCTGACACATGGCTTAGTGACAAGCCTGCTTTGCACCATCTGCTGCTGTTTGCTTCAGTGTGACCATACAAGGGCTGGAGATTGGAGATTGTGCCTGATTTGTTCTGTGTGTGTCCCGAACTCCCAGAACAGGCCTGGCAGTGTGTTTGTTGGTAGATTAAGTGATACACAGGGAGACAGAAGAGACTGGAGGACCAGCTGGGCACTGGGGTCAGGAAGCCTAACATCTACACTACTCCCAGTTCCCCTCCTACCTGTGCCACCCTTCCTTGCCACATCGTGGAATGGAATGGAGACAGCATGTGCCCTTGTCACTGTAACCCATGGGGACACATGAGCTCTGACAGGTGAAACACCTGGCACAGGTCTGACCATAAGTGACATACCTAGGGACTGGCCATGTTGGTTGTGCTGATCTTGTGGCTATTGTTGCTAATGGCTTCCAGGTCAGGAAGACAGGGCCCCAGCCCTTCTCCTGGCCAGCTCGGGGAAGAGCTGGAAGACAGCACTTACCATCCATGTTGAAGACTGGGGCTCTCTGCAGGTGGAATTTTTCCACATACTCCCAGTACTTCCCCAGCCATGTGGGGTCCTTGAACATTTGTCTTGCTAAAATCAGAGTGCTGGTGGTGAGGGGCTGAAGCTGGGAGCCTCTAAATTCTCCCCTTCCTCCTCCAGGGTGAACAACAGGGAGTCTAGGCCTGGTAGCATCTAGCAAAGGCCCTTGAGCATCAGCTGCCCACAATGCCCTTCTGCCTGCCCTCGGGTGGCAGGGGCACAGGCAGAGGGCTGGTCAGACCCCTATGCCACCTCCCCTGCTGCCTCCCGGGCCCAGGACTGCCCTCTCCCCTGACTGTTGCGATGCCTACTCTCCCCTCTCCCCAGGTCCTCTAAAAGCAGATCTGTGCCTGGGGTGCATGCCTAGCATGCAGG